AATACACCCCCCCTTGGGGGAAACAACAATTACACACATGAACAAGTGACAACACCCAACGAGACCCACCTGATGTACGACCCTCAACGACACCGACCACTCAACAATCGACCCCTGGGAAAGACCGACACCTCCACGCCCTATCCCCCGACCCTCACCACAGGTCCTACACCCTCAGAAGACGCCCCCTGCCCTGACTAGACACCACGGACCACAGAGATGAGCAACTCACAACCCACCCACCATAGTTGAAGTTAAATTAAAATACAAAGAAAAAGTTTTTATATGAGCAATGGGAACCTACCCGTTGAATGGAAGTTAACCCATTTCCCCCCTCTCCCACACCCTAATTTGTTTCTGTGACCTACCCAGGACGTTCAAGCTCCGAGTCAATAAAACACCAACAAAAAACGAAATTCCACCAACTCAATAATTCAACAGCCCAAGCTCACGATAGCAAAGTATAAAATTACCCACAACAACTGGTATTTGAAACACCATAACTGACATTTAACTAACTTCACTGATAAAACAATTGGTGTCAATTTGTCAATCAAATCTGAATGTCCTTGTCCTTTTGTACCCCATACTTGCAGTCGATAAAATCATAAGTTACAAAAAAAAGGGAACTAAACATTTTTTAGATACATAAATGAGAAAAGGAAAGTAAAACAAGGATTAGTTAGATTAAAAGCAAAAGAAGGAAGGTATGTAGAATAGGATAAAGGTCTAGCTGACTGCCTCAATTAATATTTTTGTTCAGTATTTACAGATGAAAATGAAGGAAAGGGGCCTCAGTTAGGAAAAAGGACAAATGAGTAATTTGTTACATGTGAGTTTACAGAGGAAGAGGTTCTATTTCAACTGTCAAATGTAAAGACAAATAAGTCAATAGGACCTGACTTTATTCCTCAGCCTACTGTGGTGTTGTTGGGCCAGCCACATAAGTAGGAGAATGAGAGATGGTTTCCTCTTGCTTTGGGCTCTATGCTCTCTAGGAGGTAGTAGTAGGATCCAGTTCTGCAGAACTGTCGGTTGCAGATCAAAGGTTCAGAGAAACAGTGACATATCTTGATCATGGCACAGGAGTCTCCACATGCAGGCTGAAGGGATAGACCTTATGATTGTTAATCTGTTTATCTTGAAGCATAGAAGTAATGGGGTGGAGAGCCTCCCGGTCATCCAAAGGTCAAGCACAAGTAGTCCTGGAACATAATGGGGTTCTTCTGGCAGAAGTAATGGACAGAGCAGATCTCTGGGCACTCTGTCTGGACGAGGAGGATGCAAAGTTCTGTGAACCTGGTTAAGCTGGAACTCTTCAGGGTTTTCATTGCTGAGGATCATGTTTTAAAGGGTCTGTAGGATAACTTCCAGAGGTTCGGTTTTAATCAGACTCAGGAAGGCCACGGATCTTGATGTTGTTCCTTTTCCGGCCAAAGTTATTACCATCTTTGACCTGCCTTATCAGGTCCTGCCACCTTTGCCACTCCATGTAGCAGGTACAAGCACTGTGAAGAGGCTTCAAGGGTGTTAAGTCTCTTGTTGAGCGCTGTGACATCTCTGCTGGGCTCCAGATGAATAGCACCTTTACCTTTAAGGGATGACTCTAGTGTAGATGATGCAAAGGTCCATTCTTATTTGCTCCAGAAGTGACTGGACCTCTGTCTCTACCTGATCTGAGGTTCCAGGGCTGCTCAGAATAGCAACGCAAGGCCTCAGTGTCTGAGAGATCTGCAAGAGTAGAGAGAATCTCATCTATGGGGTCAGATCTCATGGACATTTCCGCTCTGTGGGGTATGGTCAGCGTGCTACACTTCTTGTCATGGCCAGTGGAGAGCGGGAATTAAGTAAAATAAGCTGCAAATGTTGGATAGGTTAGGGGGAGCTTAGTACCAAAGGTGCCATCTTGACCGCATGCCAGGTCACACCCCTTATTAATGGATTATTGACTGTGTTGTGGGGGATACAATGCTTTTGCAAGAAAGACAATTATATGGAATTATAAGAATGAAGCAAAAAACTAAAAGTCACTTACTGATGGCCAGTAACTGGAATAGATATGGATATAGAGAAATGTGTTAAGAAATGTAATGGTTGCAAATAAATCTTGCATACCTAACTCACCTAAATCTTGCATACAACACTGATCATTGGTATAAAAACTGTGGTCAATTTGCAGACTAGTTGTAGGTCAAACATATTTGATCATAATTGATGCACATTCTTAATGGCCAGAAGTAATACCTTTGCCACACCAACATCAGTAAATATAATTAAAGTACTACAGAGATTTTCTCACTTTAGATTACTAGATACACTGGTATCAGATGATGGTGCCCAATTTGGTTCTACAGAATTTAAGTCTTTCCTGATTAGGTTGTAATTTAACAATTGACAATGGAGCAACTTCTGACTGAATTCAGGGAAGCAGCTGGTGCCGATTGTTAAGTACAGTGCAGTTTGCTAGTTCCCTTTTCAGGTTGTGCAGATGCGTGGAACATTTGGCTCCTCATGACCTGAGGAGGGGAGTAGCGTGGGCTACAGTTTGCTACAGTTTTATTCTTGAGAAGGAAATGGTTGTAGCAGAGCTGCTGTGTGAGATAAATCATATGGTGTTGGTTGTGGAAGCTCCACCCTTCCAGCCTGAGGTAACAAAAACATACATAAAACTTTCCTGTCATAAACACAATCACTGTAAGTGACAAATACTTATTCTCAGCTAAATAAATGACACGGTGTGTAACAGAGTCTTCCAACTGTGAAGATCATAATGCATTGTTATATGAAAAATTTTCTTGTTACAGTAAATAGTATTATTTTCCATTAACTGCCATGATTAAAGTAAGCAAAGAAATCGTGACAGGAGCAGACATTTATGTTAATAAAAAATGTATGTACTGTCAAAACATAACAGGTTGTGCATGGGTATTCTGCATGCATATAATAATGTGTTTTGTGTGTCTGAAAGGCTGTGTGTTTGAGGATGTGCTTTCTATCTCTGAATGGATGTGTGTATTTCGGAGACTATATGTGTAAAACTCTGTGCATGTAATTGGGAGACTCTGTTGTATGTGTTTGAAGTGTGTGTATTGTGTGAGGGATGGTTTCTTGTTTTTTTTTTTTTTTTCCCCCAGTAAGTTCAGTATTTAAAAACAATAAATATTTTTTTGCCCCTCCTGCTTTCAAGGATAAGGGTAGGATACCTGGTAGTCTAGTGAGAGTGTTTGCTATTTACCTTTCATCAGTGATATATTCCCTGGTGGTCCAGAGGGTGGGAATTGTGGTCTGCACCTATTATGGTGATGCAGAGCTGGGCAGGGAGAAATTCTTATCTTACCATCCATGAACCCTCTTTCCGTGGAAGCCCCTGTGATATGAGTACCACCATTTAACAACCAAGGTTTCAGGATATTTGCTTATATTTGTTTCACTGTAAATCCATGTCCTCTGTTTATTTTCCAGTTTTCCATATGTTTCATTGAAGAAGTTTTATATTTATTACCATATTGCCAAAAATTAAATCAATATGGATTCTAATGTACAGTATTTGCATATTTGTAAAGGCCAGTTGATTGCTTGTCAGAGTTTTCATATTTAGCATGCATTTTTCATGTCATATAATCAGGAAAACATTTACATACAGTACGTTATATGTTGTAGTTAATTTTGTTTACTGTGTTCATTGCTTCCATAATTCAAATATATTAATTGTTATTGCAGGTTTGTACAAAGAACAGCAATGGGAAGTATCCTAATCACCTGCATATGGATTGTGCTATAACAGGCAGACCATGCTGTATTGGAACAAAAGGAAGGTAACATATGTTTCCTAAAATTATACATTTATTGGTCAGATTGCCAAACAAATAAGTGGCTAGATAATCTATTGTTTTTTGTTAAGATCATTATTATTGATGCACCACTTTTTTGAAATGCCTATGAAAACCAAACAAAAAATAAAAAAAAAATCTGGAAACTTATAGAGACCTATAGTAAGCTATATCGTTGCAAAAAAAAAAAACTGTGACAGGCCACCCTGTCCCTGGATTACAGTTGTTTTGAGTCCTGCGCCTGTTTGTTCAGTACATGACATTCTCTTTCGCTTTTCTCATTATTCTGTTCGAAAACCAAACAACTCCCGAATGATTAGACCACCTGGAGTGAGGAGTGTGCAGCTCGTTAACCACCATCACCTCTGTCAACACCTCGTTAATGCATGTTTGCAACATTCTAAATGGTCGGCTGGGTGGTCATTGTTCGTATGGGCGAGCACATGACGGCGGCCATTTTTAGCCGCACACACACACAGCGGTGTTTGGTTGTTGAGTGCATGGGACTATGTCCTTAGCTATGTATTAACTCTTTTTGTGCTGTGTATTTTAAACTATACTTTTTTTCTTTACTTAATATATTTACTCCCTTTTATCTTTTTTTTTTTTACTGTGTCTATGTATTATCTCTTTGCATGTTGTGTACTGTGGCTAAACTTTATTCTTCATTTAGTGTATTTGTTCCCCTTATTTCCCCTTTAGCTCGTTGAGGCCTCGCTATTTATAATTGGATGCTTAGGGCCCCTTCCTATATTATTTGTTGTTAACCATTTCTTTAATTCTTCTGTGTGATCGATTGATATAGTTTTATCTTTGTGTGTTATGATTATTTTTATGGGGAATCCCCAAAGATATTTAATGTAGTTTTTTTCTTAGTATTATTGTACTGTCGGCAAAGGTTTTACTCTTCTGTCTAGTTGACCAGGATAAGTCCTGAAATACTTTCAGGGTTACATACTCTTGAGAGCATTTTTTGCCTCTTAAGGCACTCATTATTTGGGTCTTAAGTTTTAAAGAAGCGCCTCGTAACATCACATCCCTTGGAAGGTGATCTGGGACTCCTTGGTTTGTTTACTCTGTTGCATCTCTCGATAGCCGGAATTTTGAAGTCCTACTCCACAGCCAAGTGTTTTAAAAAACCCTCTATATATGGCTCTAGGTTTTTAATTGTTACTTGTTCTGGTATTCCTCTGATTCTGATCTCCTTGATCTGTCTTCAGCATCTATAAGTTTATTCTCCATTGCAAGATATTCCTCTCTGTAGATTATTTCCCTGTGTTCCAGTGCATCTAATTTCTCCTCTGTTCCCTGAATCTGTTTGTAGAAGCCAGCTAACTCTTTCTTGATATCCCTGGTATTGGTTTGCATCTCCTCCCTAAGCCTCTCAAATTGACTATCCAGGTGTTTAAGCAGGTGGTTGTATTCCTTCCTTCCCTCGCCTGTATCTTGGCCCTTATTGATGTCTCCCTCTGTAGTATTGTTTGTCTGGAGAGATTCTCTCCGGTTTGTTTTATTTCCTGGCTGCTGTGGCAAAAAAAAGGAGAGACGTTTTTCTGTTTTATTTTCAGGTTTACTTTCTTTTCTTAATTGTTTCCCTTCCAATGTCTTTTTCATGGCCATTTTATTTATTTTTTTGTATTTATTTTCCTCCTTTTCTTCCCCCTTTTATATGTATATTTCTTTCTCCTATCTTCTCTCCTCTTATTCACTTATGTTTCTTTAGTTTGTTGTACTTTCTTATAATTTCTTTCTTCGCATCCTCCCCTTTCACTCTCCTCTCTCCCTCTTCTCTTTTGCTATGTCATTTCCCCCTCTAGGTATAGTTAATGTGATGTTGGATAATTGCAGGCAATATAAAAAAAAAAAAAAAAGAAACAAAAAACAACCAGGCTTAAGGAGCTTAACAGCACCTTAACTAGAATGCTGTATATAGGAGAGAATTTTTTTTGGATGGAATTAGAGTATTGATTCTGGATCTAGCTACCAAATGCAGAGCCAATAGTTCTATAATCATTCCCTTTTGGTCAATAAATTTGGTCGATAGGATTAGTCTGCCAGCACGAAAAGGAAGAATGACTGTCATTAAATTATTTTAGGAGTAATATGTCTACTGTGAGGATTGCAGATTGTAAGTTTTTGCATTCTAGAGTACCTGCAGGTAGTGGTATGAGAAAACAAAAAATTCAAAAGCATGGGCTCCACCAAAAGTTTGCACTAATTATGATATAATCTAATAATAATGTATACAAACAACATGAGAAAGATCATGTGATCAAAAAATATAGATAGATATACTAAAAATAAGTCCAAAGCAATAGTTCTTAGATGAATACTACCCTTTTAGGTAGCAGATAAGTTCAAGTGGTAAAATTCTAGATGAAGCAGAGGAGTGCTTTAGAAGTATGCAAATTCTTAAAATCCCTTGATGTGGCTTCTGGTTCCGTCGCCATCTTAGCTAGCCGCGTTTTTTTCTCACCTCTGCTCGAGAAACTTTCATCCTATCTTTATCTGGCGTTCTTTTGTTGTGTGTGGCTACTTCAGGCACTGTACTTGCCTTCCCACATCAGCCGACTGACCGGACTCCTTCTGGGGACCTTAGTGGAGGTCTGTTCGCCTTTCCATCCATAGAGAGTGAAAGCTCGAAGTCAAGGCCTTTGAGACTGGCTGCCATTACCTGGACGCAGCTGCTGGTCATTGCCGGGGGCATCACTGCTCCTTTGCACCTCACATCCATGGAGCCGACACTCACTGAAGGTTCCCGAAATCAGCAGATGAACGTTATTTGTGGTGAATACTGAGTCAGGTACCGGAACACCAGGCCTGACAGCCTTCCTAGGCCATACAAGGCAGGTTAATAACCCCACACACTGTATCTGACAGAAGATACTCTGCAGAGTTGTGGCTGCTGATACACTCCTAGTCCCTCTGCTCACTTCAATGCCTTGTATAAGGGAACACTTTTTTTTACACACCTCCTTGGCCTCCACCCTGAATTCAGGCTGCCACAAAGCTGCTTCCAGAGTATATACCTTTGTTGAGTTTTCTTCTTTTTCTCTTTTTACCTGTGATATTATTAATGGAAGTCAGGTACAGATCTGCCTGCTGGTTCTATTTCAAGCATGTGCCACTCTATGGAACTGTCATCTCATTTATAATAAGTTCCAATCAATTTCTACTAGCTTGGAGGCATGAGTAGTGAGGGGATTCTTGACTACATCTCCCCTGCCACCACTCTCCAATTATTGCAAGATGAGCACAGCCAGGGCCGGACTGGCCCACCGGGATAGCGGGAAATTTCCCGGTGGGCCGCGGCACCTGGGGCTGGGCTGACAGCCCTTATCAGTGATCAGACTCCTGTAATCCCGGCCGGTCATGTGTGAGGCCCATGTGTGAGGGCACAGAGGCCCATGGGAGCAGGGGGAGCCAGGCGGCAGGCACAGCTCAAAATGCGGTGGGGCGGAGCCTAGTTTGCAGCTTACTGTGCGGCAGGGGCCTGGCTAACTACAGCATGGGAAGCAGGAAGGAGTCCCTGCTTCCCCAACAACCAGCCTCCAGGAGCTCCAAGGGATGTGGAGGTAAGAAGCAGGTCAGTGTGTCTGTGTGTGACTGCCTGTGAGTGTGTGACTGTCTGTGTGTGTGACTGTCTGTGTGTGTGACTGTCTGTGTGTGTGTGACTGTCTGCGTGTGACTGTCTGTGTGTGTGACTGACTGTCTGTGTGTGTGACTGTCTGTCTGTGTGTGTGACTGTCTGCCTGTGTGTGTGTGTGGCTGTCTGCCTGTGTATGTGGCTGTCTGCCTGTGTGTTTGACTACCTGCCTGTGTGTGTGAATGTGACTGTCTGCCTGTGAGTGTGTGTGGCTGGCTTCCTGTCTCTGTATGTGTGGATGTTTGCCTCAGTGTCAGTGACTGTCTGCCTCTGTGTGTGTGGATGTCTTTGTGTGTGTACATCTGCTAGTGAGTGAGCAAGCGAGCTTCTATGTGCGTGTGTGTGTGTGTGCACGCATCTGCTTGTGAGGGAGCCCCTGTGTGTGTGCGTCTGCTAGTGAGTTTGTGTGTGTGTGTGCCTGCTAGTGAGTAAGCTTGTATGTGTGTCAGTGAGCTTGTCTGTAGGGATCGTATGTGTGTGTGTGCGTGTTAGTGAGCTTGTCTGTAATTAGCATGGGTGTGTCGAAGCCTGTCTGTGGTGAGCATGTGTGTACAGTGAGCTTGTCTGTAGTAAGCATGAGTGTGATCGTGAGCTTGTCTGTAGTGACCATATGTGTGTCAATGAGCTTGTCTGTAGTGAGCATGTGTGTGTCAGTGAGCTTGTCTGTAGTGAATGTGTGTTTTAGTGAGCTCTTCTGTAGGGAGCATGTGTGTGTCAGTGGGCTTGTCTGTACGGAGAGTGTGTGCGCATCAGTGAGCTTGTCTGTAGTGAGCGTGTGTGTGTGACAGTGAGCTTGTCTGTAGTAAGCTTGTGTGTGTATCAGAGTTTGTCTGTACTAAATTTGTGTGTGTGCCAGTAACCTTGTCTGTGTGTGTCATTGAGATTGTCTGCCTATTTGTGTGCATCAGTAAGATTGTCTGTGTCTGTGTGTGAGTATGATTTACTGTATAATTTAATTACCCTGAAAGAACTAATATTTTGAATTAGAAGAAGAAATGTATGAATAAAATATATATATTTCCTGGCCATATCCATGGCAGCACAACATTGGGTAGCTCCTTCCCATCCCTATTGGACAGGAATAATAATTAAGTAGTATAAGTACCACCTTCTATCCCTCCTTCCCCAGGCTTTTTTTCCTGTCCTATACCTAGGACATGTTGGTCTTTAGGACTATAACATTTTTCTTTTATGGCTTACCTGAGGATTAGTTCCTCCAGCCCCTGGGGAGTTTACCCTCTCTCCCCTGGGAAGTCTCCAGTACACGGCCCTGCGCAAACGTGTCCCCCTGGAGAGAACCCCTTTAGTGACCGGGGGTTTTTCCTTTCTATTATCTTGCAATGACCCTAGGGGTAGCAAGTAAAGGACCATTCACAACAATTCTAACTAAGCTGGTTAATTGATTGGAAATCTTCCCACCAGAAATATATGTAAAGAGGCCGACATGGATATGGTAACTTTAAATTTACTGCCAAGATTCTGTAGCCGGTAAGTTCTTTCTTCACACTTGTTCAGGAACCTTCAGGGCACCTCCACGGCGTTCATGAGCTTCAGGGTGCCTGCCCGGCGTTCGGGAGTTCCAGGGCACCTGTGCGGCGTTCGGGAGTTCCAGGGCGCCTGCATGGCGTTCAGGAGTTCCAAGGCGCCTGCGCGGCGTTTGCGAGTTCTAGGGCACCTGCGTTGCGTTTGGGAATTTCTGGGCGCCTGCGCGACATTAGACGAATGAGCGCGCACACGTGAACAAAGCGCTACTAGTTAATATCAATTCGGCATTTTGGAAAATTTGTGCACTTGAGGCCCGTTTGTGCATGCGCAGTGATGTCAGACGCCCTTTTAAAGCGCCAAACCCCATTTTATTCCAATGCTGATTAATTCTGGCAGAAGTAGTATTCCTGACCATAGAGCTACAACTGAATTGTCGGTTAACCTCAAGTTTGCCAGGTTCCTTTCTTTTCTTGATTAAAAGAAAGTAAGTTGATTCTTTATAATTTTCCTTTTTTTTTTTTATCCCTACTCTTCTTGGTTTAAGTTCCATCTGTTCCACCGATTAACTTACAGATGGATTCTCGTTCAAGATCCAGGGAATCGGATTCATCTCATCATAATAGGTCACAATCTAAGCAATATAGGTAAGCCATCTTTTCCATCCTAAAAAAAAAAAAAAGAGTGGGAATGTACTCAAAAGCACGTTTGTTTGTTGTAGTGCTAAAAGTACAAAGACTTCAGGATCGTCCAAAGGGAAGTCGCCCAAATGGACGCTATGCATATCCTGTGACAACAGAGCCATAGAAGGGAAACGTCTCTGTTCAGATTGTCTCTCAGCAGCTGCATGACCATATCATCCAACACCGGACATTATGCAACTTATAAAGCATGCAGTTGCCCAGGGCATCAGAGAGGTTTGAAAGGCCCACAAGCGACCCAGATATTATGAGCCCTCGGAATTTTCTCCAGGAAACTCAGAGGATGAGTTCAGCTTCACTGAGAGATCTAGCTTTTTCCTCGGAGGAGGATGCTATGCCAGATCCAGACTTCCTGGTACCAGCGGAAGTGGATCATTTAATTGCCCGGGTTTAAAGGAATCCTCAGAGGAGGAACCTTCTACATCTAATCGCTATTTCTCTGATCTTAGGAGAAAAAGAGCGGCTTTCCCGGTGCATGACACAATCAGTGATCTTATTAAGGAGGAATGGTCCAGATCTGATAGGAGATCATCTGCCAAGGGAAAGTTCTCCAGGTTATACCCATTCGAGCCCAAAGACGCTGAGGCATGGGATTTTGCACCCAAGGTTGATGCTGCAGTTGTCAGGTTGGCTAAGCACACTACCTTGCCTGTGGACGATGCGGGTTCCTTCAGGGATCCGATGGATTTGAAAATGGAATACTATCTTTCCAAGTCCTATGTAGCCTCAGGCACGAGTCTCCACCCGGCCGTTGCTCTCACGTCAGTTACAAGAGCAATGAAGGTCTGTCT